GTGTAGGGGATAGTAGTAATAATGAGAACTGCATAAGGCCTATTGGCCCATACGAGGCAGCTCCCATTATAACTACCGAAGGAGATAGTAATAGGAATAAGAAGAGGATAGCAAGGGAGCGTAGGAGAAGACAATGCACAGAAAAAAGGGAGAAGAGAGAAAGAAAAGGAAAGAGAAAAAGAAAAAGAAAGATAAATGGAAGGGGTAAGCTTATGTTAAGTCACGTTTGTTAGAAAGATTAGAGCATTTGAGTATATACTGTGAAAGGGAAGAGTCCACAGCAACAAAGCCAGGACTCAAGTTCATGTTGGGTACATTGTGTATAAGAGCCAATTCTACAAGACGGCATCTGTGTAGAGTAGAGGCAGGAAAGATTATTTTGGAGGAAGACCAATCAATGGGATGATTAGAATCCCTCACATGGCAGAAGAGAGCATTGTTAGTGTCTGCAGACTTAACACTTCTCTTGTGTTCTTTAAGTCTGTCATTCAGTGTACGGCCAGTTTCGCCAAAGTATTGGAGAGGACAAGATGAACAGGAAATAGAGTAGACACCAGCAGCATTAGAAGCAGGAGGAGCAGTGTGAACTAGATTACTACGAAGTGTGTTAGTTTGTCGAAAGGCGAGTTTAATGTCAAGAGGATGAAAGGTATTGGTAAAAGTTTTGAGTTCAGATATGAAGGGAAGGCATAGTACAGTGCTACTAGTGTTGGAAGCAGGTTTAGGATGAAAGAAATTTCATCCTAAACTGTGGACTCTTCCCTTTCACAGTATATACTCAAATGCTCTAATCTTTCTAACAAACGTGACTTAACATAAGCTTACCCCTTCCATTTATCTTTCTTTTTCTTTTTCTCTTTCATTTTCTTTCTCTCTTCTCCCTTTTTTCTGTGCATTGTCTTCTCCTACGCTCCCTTGCTATCCTCTTCTTATTCCTATTACTATCTCCTTCGGTAGTTATAATGGGAGCTGCCTCGTATGGGCCAATAGGCCTTCTGCAGTTCTCATTATTACTACTATCCCCTACACCTTACTTTCCTCCTCAGCTCTCTCTTGCCTATTTATTGCCTGCCCCTACCTGTCCTCATCACAATCGACTTGAGAATGGTCCAGGACGGACCGAAACGTCGTCGTCCCTTCAACTTCTAGTGTGTGGTCTGGTCAACATACTTCAGCCACGTTATTGTGACTCATCGCCTGCAAACAAACGAGAGCGTTGCCACCACCAAGGCTCTAAGCACAACGCCCCTGCTGCCCGCACCCGCAGAGTCAGCACAACTGGGTAACCGAGCCACAACGAGCAACAAAACTCGCAGGACTCCGGGTCGAAGGTATCATCGACCCCACAGGCAGCAGACGGAGGCAAAACAGAGAGTCACCTGGAGACAAGGGGTGAGAGCAACCCTCAAACTCGCTGGAAGCGAGGGGGGACTCTGGGGTCACATCCATCAGACCCGCATGCCCCCAGGGGTTTCCCAGGGTCCCGAGCGTTTACTATAAGAGGACTCGCGCTCAGGTAATCCCAGGCAAGGTACTTCTAACAGGCGCCCAAAGCTACCAAACAACTTTCTAAGAGCTGAACCCCCGGGACGTGTACACTCACGGGGACCTAGCAGGGAGAACCACCAGAAAAATACTCAGAACACAAGGGACACAAGGGGAAAGAACGAAGGCAGACCCCCCACCAGGCAGAAAAAAGAAAAAGAAAACCTCGCAAGAGGACAGTGTACCCAAGCAGAACAGAGCCGGCCGCCATGATTGGTGGAGACAAGCTGCGCAGTACCCTGCGCCCCACCAGTGCAAAACTGCCCCTTACCCTAAGGCGAACAAGGGAAACAGAACACCCGAGCACACAAAGAGCGGCCGAAAACCAAGCAGTAAACGGCCTAGCAGGGACAGAACCCAAGGAACTTGTGGAAGGTGGCCCCAAGCCCCAAGGGCAGTACTTACAGGGCACCTAGGGAAGGGAACCCTAGGCGCATGCAGCCCGAGTACTGGAGACTCACTCCCGGCTCACGCACTACTTAGAAGACAGACACCACACTCTAGGTACAGTGCTGAAACAATTACTGGAGCCGGAGCACACAACCGGTGCCCATAGTATCAGCTGAAGAACTGATGGGTGGATAGCCGGCATGGGAGGTCTGGGGCTTCCCCTTCCCCCTCCCGGGGAGGGGGGAGCTGCGCAGACAGCGGCGCGGTGACGTGTGACGTCATACTAGTTTGCATGTTTTCTGTTGGGGAGTTCTATCCACTCGTTCGGCTTTTGTTAGCAATTTTAACCAGAATAGGGGTTTGTTTTGGAATGCTTACCTTTCTGGATGCTTGACCTGGTCGATGGCAGACATAGAATGCTTCCAACCACACAGGGGTTTCTATAGGCCATTGCTCCCCTTGCCTCTCTGAGGGGGCCACGTTCTGGCCGTGGTCCCCGGTAGGCCCTAGAACTCCATACACATGACTGATGCCAAAGTCTAACATTAGCATATCAGCCTGGTAAAGCTCCGGGGAGCCGACGGGGCTCTCCCCAGAAAAGGGGCGTTGACAGACCCTTCGCCAGATGAGGTCTACTTCGCTCGAGCTGTCAGGCGGCAGTTGCCATAAATATATTATTACCTAATTATTTCAATGTCACCGATTGATTTTTCTTAATTTTTTGCAGTAATATTATTCAATAGAGTGAATTGTGATATATTTATATAATAAAATGTGTGAACCATCGATGTACTCAAAATTATGGTGTGCATATTAGTGATTCAATTATTATGTTCATAAAACAATAAACAAATAGTTTGCTGTTATTACACTATACACAGGTTATATGTAAGTATCTGCATGTTTTGCTCACCATAACGAACCCCTAAGTTTGTATTGCGAGTCAAAATGCAATGAGGAGTGACCGCCACACACCAGCCAGCCACTCGCTGCCACTCCTCCCTCAACAACACCTCACTCGTCTTCATTCTCCTCCCACAATACTGTTCTTGCATTTATTCACTATACACAGACATTATATATAAGTATTTACATGTTTTGTTCACCATAACTGTACATCTAAGCTTGTATGGTGAGTAAAGGCACAAAGACGTAACTACTCCCACAGTCAGCTGGTTGCGGCTGGCCTCAAGGCCAGCAGCACTAATATTTCTCCTCCAACAATACTGTTTCTGGTGTTATTACGCTATATAAGCACATTATATTTAAGTATCTACCCATTTTATTCACCATACCTGTACAAATAAGCTGGTATGGTGCCCAAATGCCATAGTGGTCACCAGTAAACAACATGTCGTGCAGATGATGCACCTCCCTCACCAAAATGGCGGCTCCCAACCTACTCCTATTGCTGTTATTACACTCTATACACACGTTATATATAAGTATCTATATGTGTGTTCACCATAGCGAACCACTAAGGTGGTATGGCGAGTGCAGTCAATAAAAGGTGGCCACACACAGTCAGAAGACAATGCCACCACCCTCCCTCCCACAGCATTACTCCTCTCTCCATGGAGCACAGCGCTAAATATCACCACAATCCTGCTATTATCAGAACCCTGGTCAGTTTTATCACAGTCAGTGGTCTTCTGTAATAATATCATCGCTAAATAATAGCAAGAACATGTATATTATGGCATTTTTAGGCAATGCTGTGGTCACAAGCTGAACAGCAGTGCTGTGAGCTCATGCTGTGTGCGTCAGGCTTGGTAGCTCACTTGATACTGAGGCCCCTCACACCCAGGAATTTGGCCCACGATTTGTTTTAAAAATGAAGTCTGTTTACAAGAGCCCTGATGAAGGTGTGGTGAACCCCGTGTATCCGTGGGCCGTTTAAATCTTGCGCGGTACTCCAAAACATCATATGATGCCGAGTGCAAGTTACTGCAAGTCACTCAACGCATCATATGTCTTGCATAACTAAAGGGTTAATAAGCTGGTATGGTGTCTAAACAGCATAGTTGCCACTGCATGATAAGTCACACAGCAGACAACAGCCTCACTCACTCCCCCTTACTTAAATGGCTCCTCCCAACAAAAGCCTTTTGCTGTTATTACACTCTATACACACATTATATACAAGTATCTACATTTGTGTTCACCATAGCGAACCACTAAGCTGGTATGGTGATTCCAGACAATAACATGTTGCCACACACCAGCCAGCAGGTGACGCCACCTCTCCCAACCTCCCTCACCAAAAATACTCCTCCCACTGCTAATTCACATTGTTAATTCTCACCACAATCCTGCTATTATCAGAATCCTGGTCACTAAATCATGTAAATGAATAATTTTCCCAGATGTTTATTTTGTAAAGGAACATGAGAAATTGTTTGAAGAATTTTAGATGGACAAAATAATGGCAGTGTGCTGTGGCTAGCTAGCGCTGTGAACATCTTGAACAGCATTTATTCACCGATATCTGAACATTGTACACAGTCTTTATCGCAGTCAGGCTCTTTTGTAATACTATCATGACTAAATAATACCAGATACATATTTAGAAAATTTTAGGTGATGCTGTGGTCAAAAGCTGAACAGCAATGCTGTTATGCTGCGTGTACCAGCCTTGGTTGCTCACTCAGTACTGTAACCTTCACACCCAGGAATGTTACCCACGATTTTTTTTTTTTTTTAAATGGCGTCTGTTTAGGAGAGCCCTGAGGAAGCTGATGTGAACCCCGTGTCGCTGCGGGAGTTTTGAATGGTGCGCTATACCAATAAAAGCCCTGAGGTGCATTACGCACTACCTGTCAAGAGCCTCAAGGTGCGTTGCGCAGTGCAGTGGTTAAGGAACAGTTGAAGAAGGTGGCTAAGAAGGCATTTTTATATTATGACCTTAAATTTTGAGTTTCACATGCTAGCGTGTTGGTGGTTTGTGAACACAACACGTCACTTAAAGCACTGAGCTTATGGAATATCTGGGTCTGATTTACGAATGGCAAAATTACTGCTTCCAACTTTAATCGCCATTCACTTAGGATATGATGAAGCTTTTGTATTTTAATGTACAATACTGTATATTATGTGATTACACCAAGGTATACATCATGAAAATGCTATAAAAATTTTGAACCAAAATTTTTTGCAAAGTGCCAGTGAAACCTGAATTTGCACCCAACCACAGAATGCACAGTCCTAACCAAACCATATTTTCTTTCAAACCCTTACACAAAACGTGATACTGCTCTAAACTCTCACCTAGTCATCAAGTGCTTCCAGCTTCTCTCTCTGTAAATGCCCCAAAACTCTATTCAGTTACTAGGTGCTCCAACTATCACATGATGTGAACATTCAAAACCTTAAGATCCACAACATTCATTTCATCTTTGCAAAAACCACCATAGCAATGAATAAATATATAATTACAGTATATACAATTCTTTGATTTATTTATATATCTCTAAAATTAGCAATGAATTGAGAAAGAATTTACAGACTAAAAGCTTCGAGCTACAATAGAGTAAGTCAGAATACAGTACTGTACTCTATTAACATGTGTAATAGCCGAATCATGTAATAATCATATGGATTTAATCATACCTGAAAAAATCATCAATATAATTTTGACAGCAAATAAATTAAGTATTCCCCACAATTCTGAGGACAAAATAATTTAAAAGACAATAAGGCTTTGCATCCCAACACCTTCAATCAAACCTTTAATTGCTGTAAATCCATCATATATATTCATTAATTTTACAAAGTGAAATACAGCACACTGTTTTAATGTGCTTTTAATATGAAAACATGATTACAGAAAGGGAGAAATTATGTGCAGTAGACAACAAAGCCAGTGACAACCAGAATAGTGTATGGTACTAACTTTGGAACAAAAAATGAATGAGAAGGACTGTACTTGTCACCATAAAATAAATTAAACTTCTGAGATTTCAATATTGTCTTGCATATTTAACCCAGAAAGAATCATTAGGAAAGTATGTTCATTATAAATTGCTAGGCTAAGTACGAATTCTTGATAATTTATGATACCCATTTCTTTGTTTATCAGCTTTGTGCTTCATCTTCCTGGAGTCAAAGAGAATTTCTGCATCACTGTCACTCTCTGAGGCTGATTCAAGTAGACTACCAGAATTGCGACTCTTAACTTCATTTGGGAAAGAAAATATTCAGAAATTAGTAAAAACACTAATAATCGTAAAAGATAGTCATGAATGAACCGAGATATTTTAAAATAAATGTATGCAAAACTTTTAAAGCACCACTTACACTGTACTCAGGAAAGAACCACAATATAACAAGCTATGAAATCTTTATGCTATACTCTGCCAAGGTAAAAGAAAGTTATGGCTAATGACAGTACTTTCACAATCCTGCTGCCTGTGTTCAAGTGCAAGTTAAATGCTTTCATTAATTTGTATTCAGTACTGTACTTTAATCATATCCCTTTTAATTTTATTTTACCTTCTAGGGAAGGTAAACAAAAATTTTTGAAAGAGCCCCTCAGTAGCTCCCCCAGTGCTGCAACCTGGAAGCATCCAAGACTTTGATAATATACCCGAATTCTATGACCCATGAGTGTCTGGTGATTCAACCTGTCTTCAGGGAGGAGATCCACTCAAAGGAATGGATTGAGAACAACTACAGTATATAATTTGTGCTATTATCTACTATCTATCCATGGTTAGGTTAGGTTAAGGTTAGGGTAGGTTCAGGGTAGATTAGGTTAGGTATCATTACATTTGTCAATATTATATTGTATTAATGTAACTAATGTGAAATATGTAATTCAAAAACTATTTCAGTGTGGCCGTGAATTCTATTTATAGAAAACCAAATTCTTCAAAGAAAATGTTTTCAATCTATGCAAAGTGATTGAGGCAGACTCTGTATACAACTTGAAATGTTGTACACCAGTCAATTGAAGGTTGAGAAGTGGGATAAAAAAATTGAAGTTCAATCCACAAAGAAGCACAATTAGGTAAGTACCTACCTGGAATTAGGCCCCACTTATGTTTAATGCTTTCCTCATGGCCATCAAGCAGTGAATAACGAGGTGGCTTGCGGTGAGGTCGAGCATTACCTCCAAACTTCCTCACTAGAAGTGATATTATACCCCATCCTATCAATCCTGTGGCAAGCACTACCATATATATATATATATATATATATATATATATATATGCGAACAAGCCTGAATGGTCCCCAGGACATATGCAACTGAAAACTCACACCCCAGAAGTGACTCGAACCCATACTCCCAGAAGCAACGCATCTGGTATGTACAAGACGCCTTAATCCACTTGACCATCACGACCGGACATAATGAGGTGATAGCCGAGGCTATTTGAACCACCCCACCGCCGGCACTCGGATAGTTATCTTGGGCATAGCATTTTACCAAATCACCTCATTCTTTGGGGCAACACGTGAGGAACACAAATGCGAACAAGCCTGAATGGTCCCCAGGACATATGCAACTGAAAACTCACACCCCAGAAGTGACTCGAACCCATACTCCCAGAAGCAACGCATCTGGTATGTACAAGACGCCTTAATCCACTTGACCATCACGACCGGACATAATGAGGTGATAGCCGAGGCTATTTGAACCACCCCACCGCCGGCACTCGGATAGTTATCTTGGGCATAGCATTTTACCAAATCACCTCATTCTTTGGGGCAACACGTGAGGAACACAAATGCGAACAAGCCTGAATGGTCCCCAGACATATGACACTCACACCCCAGAAGTGCTTACTGGGAGTATGGGTTCGAGTCACTTCTGGGGTGTGAGTTTTCAGTTGCATATGTCCTGGGGACCATTCAGGCTTGTTCGCATTTGTGTTCCTCACGTGTTGCCCCAAAGAATGAGGTGATTTGGTAAAATGCTATGCCCAAGATAACTATCCGAGTGCCGGCGGTGGGGTGGTTCAAATAGCCTCGGCTATCACCTCATTATGTCCGGTCGTGATGGTCAAGTGGATTAAGGCGTCTTGTACATACCAGATGCGTTGCTTCTGGGAGTATGGGTTCGAGTCACTTCTGGGGTGTGAGTTTTCAGTTGCATATGTCCTGGGGACCATTCAGGCTTGTTCGCATTTGTGTTCCTCACGTGTTGCCCCAAAGAATGAGGTGATTTGGTAAAATGCTATGCCCAAGATAACTATCCGAGTGCCGGCGGTGGGGTGGTTCAAATAGCCTCGGCTATCACCTCATTATGTCCGGTCGTGATGGTCAAGTGGATTAAGGCGTCTTGTACATACCAGATGCGTTGCTTCTGGGAGTATGGGTTCGAGTCACTTCTGGGGTGTGAGTTTTCAGTTGCATATGTCCTGGGGACCATTCAGGCTTGTTCGCATTTGTGTTCCTCACGTGTTGCCCCAAAGAATGAGGTGATTTGGTAAAATGCTATGCCCAAGATAACTATCCGAGTGCCGGCGGTGGGGTGGTTCAAATAGCCTCGGCTATCACCTCATTATGTCCGGTCGTGATGGTCAAGTGGATTAAGGCGTCTTGTACATACCAGATGCGTTGCTTCTGGGAGTATGGGTTCGAGTCACTTCTGGGTGTGAGTTTTCAGTTGCATATGTCCTGGGGACCATTCAGGCTTGTTCGCATTTGTGTTCCTCACGTGTTGCCCCAAAGAATGAGGTGATTTGGTAAAATGCTATGCCCAAGATAACTATCCGAGTGCCGGCGGTGGGGTGGTTCAAATAGCCTCGGCTATCACCTCATTATGTCCGGTCGTGATGGTCAAGTGGATTAAGGCGTCTTGTACATACCAGATGCGTTGCTTCTGGGAGTATGGGTTCGAGTCACTTCTGGGGTGTGAGTTTTCAGTTGCATATGTCCTGGGGACCATTCAGGCTTGTTCGCATTTGTGTTCCTCACGTGTTGCCCCAAAGAATGAGGTGATTTGGTAAAATGCTATGCCCAAGATAACTATCCGAGTGCCGGCGGTGGGGTGGTTCAAATAGCCTCGGCTATCACCTCATTATGTCCGGTCGTGATGGTCAAGTGGATTAAGGCGTCTTGTACATACCAGATGCGTTGCTTCTGGGAGTATGGGTTCGAGTCACTTCTGGGGTGTGAGTTTTCAGTTGCATATGTCCTGGGGACCATTCAGGCTTGTTCGCATTTGTGTTCCTCACGTGTTGCCCCAAAGAATGAGGTGATTTGGTAAAATGCTATGCCCAAGATAACTATCCGAGTGCCGGCGGTGGGGTGGTTCAAATAGCCTCGGCTATCACCTCATTATGTCCGGTCGTGATGGTCAAGTGGATTAAGGCGTCTTGTACATACCAGATGCGTTGCTTCTGGGAGTATGGGTTCGAGTCACTTCTGGGGTGTGAGTTTTCAGTTGCATATGTCCTGGGGACCATTCAGGCTTGTTCGCATTTGTGTTCCTCACGTGTTGCCCCAAAGAATGAGGTGATTTGGTAAAATGCTATGCCCAAGATAACTATCCGAGTGCCGGCGGTGGGGTGGTTCAAATAGCCTCGGCTATCACCTCATTATGTCCGGTCGTGATGGTCAAGTGGATTAAGGCGTCTTGTACATACCAGATGCGTTGCTTCTGGGAGTATGGGTTCGAGTCACTTCTGGGGTGTGAGTTTTCAGTTATATATATATATATATATATATATATATATATATATATATATATATATATATATCAGTAACATGTGCATTCTCGTTCCATTTTTTTACCTTAATTCTCGTGCTACGTCGCTCATTTTGGTATCATTGTCTTCGCAATTAAATTCCCTACAGATGTGTATGAATAAAATGTACAAAAGGCTGGAGTGCCTCCCCGCAGAAAAGCCTAAAGTTACCCATGAACGAGCACCATTTTGTACTTTGCAACCTAATGTTCAACTCGTTCAATTTGATAACATCAAATTTCGTGCTACGTCGCTCGTTTTGGTATCAAATTGTTCGCAATAAAAGGCGAGTATTTTAAAACTAGTCCCAGAATAATAGAGCAATAACTGGATTTTTAACAAATATTTTAATTCTGGATGCTCATCATCACAAATTTATTTATATCTTTCCAGTGTTCTGACATAAATATTTTGTGTTACATCTTTCATTTTGGTATCAAAGTGTTCGCAATAAAACGGCGCGCATTTTAAACTAGTCCCAAGATAATAGGACAATAAATAGAATTTTAACAATTATTTTAATATTCGGACCATAGGCCTATTTATAATATTTCAAGTGTTTGGACATCAAGTTTCATGTTATATCTTTGATTTTGGTATCAAATTGTGTGCAATCTAAAGGCGCTTATTTAAAACCACTACCAGATTGATCTGATAAAATTTAAATTTTTAAAAAATATTTTAATGAGTAACTCAGTATTGCGTCGTTGGAACACATTCAGTAGAAAAATGAGTGACGAGATAATCAGTCTGTGGAACCTCAAAGTGTTAACAGCCTATATGGGGCTGAGCCCTAGTCGTTATTTACGGAGCTCCGTTATTTCCGACGTTAAGTCGGGTCGGTTAATTTTTCAAGTAACATTCAGGTAGGATATATTTTTATACTGTATAACTAAAATTAAAATAAAGTTCATTGTTTAATTGCATTCCAATTTAGTGCACGGCCGACCGATTAAGCCAGTTTGCTGGCTGCTGCATGGAGGATGTGTGAACACGCTCTGATCAAGTCCAGATGGGTGGGGAAAAAATTGATTCATTCCTTTGTATTGAAAAATATTTCATGTATCAATCAGTGAGTTATATTGTCTTAATAAAATTTTAGAGATGTGTTTTGATTTACCCTGAACAGTGCAGGTAATGTATTTTTAAATGTTACGACAACAGGCTGTGCCGGCCATGCCATACAATGGCGATCGAGCCTTGTCACTGAGAGCTAGCCAAGACGAAATATTTTGAGCTCACCTTTCTCTGCTGACGATAGAATATACATTTGCAGAGACTAATATGTAGCTTTTGTTGAAAAAAAACAATTAATATCTTGTAATACTATAATAAAATTGGTAAATTGACTTACTTTTAATGAAGCTGAAGATTACGAAGCTGTGATGATTACGTCATCCTCTGCAGCGCTTGTTTTATATTGGTTATTATTGTATACAGGGTACATACTGTATGTACAGTACACTTATTTTCAGGCACTCACTTCACAACACAGCTAGCCTTACTACTAATTCACATGAGTTCTAATTCTACTTCACTATTGACAATTATGTTGAATGTTAAACTCTGCTGCTGCTCGTGCATGAGAATAACCTTTATCAAGTTTCTCAATTAACTCCAGCTTCTGTGCAACCGTCAGGCGCTTCCTTTGGGTAACTTTTGGCATTTTGTAAATTAAAAAGATCACAATTACAGTACAGTAATATCCTTCACAATTGAAGCTAGCCGCGCGAGTTTCACGGTAAACAATGGGAACACATGGCCCGGCGGAGTACATACTAGGTCCAGTGGGGAAAAAAATAACTAGTGGCCTATAACATACTATAAAGGTATTTAATAAGAAAACAAAGACTTTTGCTTAATAAAAACTGTTTCAAAATATTTTTTATCAATAATTTTACAATTTTCTTCATTAAAGTGAATCATTTTTAAAGAAAAATAAGATTTAATATATGACTCTGGACGATCCAGAGTCGGTGGCGGCCTGGTCGCCATGGAGGGGACCTGATGCCACAACAATATATATATATATATATATATATATATATACATATATATATATATATATATATATATATATATATATATACAGAGCACCACTTGGTTTCCGAACTTTAGTTATCCGAAACTTCCAGTTTCCCGATTGGGGTTGGGGAGTCATGCTACCCGAACAAAGTTCGGGTAGGAAGGGGTCCGCCAAGCGTCACGCCGGCTTGTGGTGGTGGGTGGGCGATGGTCCAGTTTGCCCACTGTGACTTCACAGATTCACGGCCTATTATTCCTATTATTTTGAATTGTCATAAGGCTGGAATGTTCATTCTGTGCTTTTGTTTTACATATCTGCACAATCAAGTAACATCTGTGCACCATGTTGGCTCCAAATGCACGCATTGCGTCAGTGGTGGGTGGATGGACGATGGAGCTTAGGTGGGAGGCAGTATGAATGAGGGGGGGGGGGAGAATCAGTGAGAGAGGGGGGGAGG